ATTTGTTTAACACTAATATTTTACATGTTACTAAACTAAAAATTACAGAACCTTACTCATTCCATTTGGAGGAAATAAAAGGAAATTGAAGATTACCTAGTTTTCACACAAGTAATAAAGCCAGTTTTATGAAATACTTGCACGATCTGATAAAATGTCACTGACAACTTACCACTAGTTGGTGAGACGCAAACCGAAAAATATGGTCACTAAGGGACAAAGAACAGCGTAGTCACTCTCTAACTCATTGGTTATACTAATTCCACCGTTTTCGCTAAGCTCGCAAATGCAAATCTTAAATACTCTACATTCAAATTCGTAGTTTAGTAATTTGGTGATGAAGCAATAGAAAAAAAAAAAAAAAATGCGGTAGGAAGATAGAAGTCTATAAATATAGATTCAGTTTAGAATTATTGATTTATGCTCTGTTTGAGGTTTAACAAAGAGTTGTTTATTATTCTAGCTTCGTTCATTTTGAGGAATGAAGTTTTATTCTTAGAAAATGAAAATCCTCTCCTCTCCTTTCCGTTGTCTTTAAACGCCTTGTTTGGCGTGATAAGATTATAAACACTATTCCTGGGAATACATTGCTAACTCAGAATCTTCATTTTTATGGCTTGGATTAGTGCCTGCCTTTTAATCTAGAATGTTTAGACATTTTTCTGCTCGTCCTTGATACAAAAAGCAATAGTATTTTTGGCCTCCAAGTTATATTTTTATAGGGTAGAGTCTTCACTTTAGATCTTCACAGATATGGCATTAAGAGTTTTTGGTAGTTTCAATACTGATTAAAAATGCTTCTCTCCTTTTTTTTTTTTTTTTTTTTTTTTGTGTGTGTGTGTGTGTGTATTATTTTTTTATGCGCGTAACATAAGCAAGTGACACTGAGAGGCACGCTTCTGGGTTGTAAAGGAGAACTATTTTAGGGATTGACTTTATCAGGTATTTCTCCCGCCTTCTTGGCGTGCCTTCGCGGTGTGGTGGTCTGCACGCTGGGCGTGTATTCCAGAGATCCGCGGTTTGATTCCCGGCGCAGGCGTTTGCTCATTTTTCAATCTCTCTTGCTTCAAAAAAATTCCTAATGAATTTACAGTGGCGCCCGAACTAAAAAGGGTGTTCGATGATGATTCTCCTCACCCAGGATTCGATGATTGGATCCCCTAAAAACCCCAGTCGCCCTTTAAAAGGGGGTATATAGAGTATTTCTCAGGCCTTCGCAGTGTGGTGGTCTGCACGCTGGACGCGTATTTCAGAGGTCAACGGTTCGATTCCCTGCGAAGGCGTTTGCTCATTTTTCAACCTCTCTAGCTTCCAAAAAATATTCCTAATGACTCTACAACTTTTAAAAATCTACGAACCATCCTTGTTTGTAGTATTGCATTGCTGCTCTAAAAGGTAAAGTAATGAGTTCTACAGCTCTGCGATAAATTATATTTTTTAAGGTCAAATTAACATTCTCTTGTTTTCTGTGACGTAAGACGCATACCATTTGAACGTTTTACTAAGTGATTCAAAGCCTTTAATCCTGATGTCAATATCGTAGTCCGTTTTTGATAAACTAAGTTTGCAAATCACATCATTTAAGCCAGACTCGTTAGAGGGACAATGTATGTCGCAGATGCTATTGTTTTATATTAGAGCCAAATTGATATTTGACATACAGCAGTAACATCAATGGAAAAAAGTAAAGCTCAATGAAGGAATTCCAACATCGGAATTGAATGAACAGTACAAATTGTATAAGAATTGCTAAAATGTTTTTCTAAAGCAAAGGAATCCCGCACGACCGTAATAGGTATTAATAACTGCTTCTTCCAATCCATCATGAAAACAAGAGTAACCTGGATGTGCGTTTTGGCTATATCAATGCACATACACTCGATATGATGGCAGAGTTCATCTGTAGTACGAGATAGTAGTGTCTAGCGAGCTATTCGTAGCTCGATCATGGACCAGATGTGTTGATGAAAAGTCTGGTGAAGAATAAAAATGATATACAGTGGCTATTAAGGTCTTGTTCAAAATAGCGTTCTATGTGCGAATAATACTATTACAGGAAAATAATCCCAGGCATGCCTTTAAAGACTGGATGATACCAAAGGCTCTAACAATTCAATGATGCACAGCTGATAGCTCAAAATTACAGCATATATAAGTCACGAGCGGTACTGGATTCCACTGCCATCCCATATCATAGTTATAGAACACTGAAACCCCATGATATCACATTTTGTTAAGGCTGGGTAGAAACTGTATGGCACTACATCATGCATGCTACACTGAATTTTTCACACCAGGGTATTGGCAGACAGGGATTCGATCATCATAGAGATAATGATAGATGCGATATCCTTCTTAAAATGGGAATCTCACTTATCCATTGCCCACCAGCGGCCGAACGGTAAAGTCGCTGAACACTGGTAGTTCGGTCCGAGGTTCGAATCCCGCGAATGGGCTGGCTGCATAGGCGTTTTCGTGGTTTTCCCCATGTGTAACGTGTATACGAGCCAGCTTCCCTTAGAAAGTCCTCCACGAAGGCATCCCTCCCCTTAGGCAGATAGCCCTAGTGTGCTTTGCCGTAATTAAATAAACCAAAAACCTCACTCATCCATGTGCCACTGCAATCTCAGATCCTTTTCTTACGAATTAGTATTGACTGGCGCATTGGCTTGTGTATATCCTGCTGCGGCAGAGGGTATTTCATTGAATTTGCAGATAGTGTTGTTGTGTAGCTGTCTTTAAACATTGAGATTGTGGCGTAACATACTCCCCTCTTCAAAGTTCCGTAGTTATAGTTTTGTATTTCAGGTCTTTGCCTTAGTTATCATTTTATATTATTATTCATGAAATTGAAATGGAAGGCTTAGAACAAAATAGGCATCTAAAATCAGAAAGCAAAAATACAGCGCTTTAAAATTTTAATAACTGAAATTCAGACAAATGGAAGATTTCTTTTTAGACTTCATTACTTTTTAAGTTATGCATACTTTCTTGTGTGTCAAGAATGAAAGAACGTTCTGAATTGACTATTTATTGTTAAAAAGTAAACACAATGAAGTGATTATTTCAATAAATTAGTCAGCTTATTTAATTGCTTATTTGTAAATTATAGGTGTAGCTAAAGTTACAGATAATGACTAAAAATAAATACATTATTAACAAATTTAAAAAATAAAAAAGCCAATATCGAATATGATCATACTACTCGTATTATATGGAGTCCTGACCAAAGCGTTCGCAGTCACAGTTTCATCTACAGTACCTTTCAGATTTGCAAGTTGGAAAGAAAAAGTAACGGTACTCTTGAAAATATTCAGCCAATATTAAAACTCCTTGATATTGTATATAATACTCACTTTATTATGAACGTCTCATCTGGTATAATTAGTGTATGGCATTTAATAGACTTGCTGAACATGATATAGAAATTGCGTGGGATTTAATAAGTTTGCCGAACATGATATAGCATAGTAGAACACAAACATGTAAATACTTCTTTTGAAAACATTGTAAAATATGCTTTGTTAAACAGTGTTTATGAAGTAATATAGCTTTATGTTTCTGATAGAATTTTAAATTACTATTTTGTAACCTAGAATCAACTCACACTACGCCATTGTTCAAAAAGGATGCAAATTAAGAATTTATGAATTTGTAGATAACGATTTCTCTGCTAGAATACATTATAAGGTATTGCTCTCACCTTCTTAGCGAGACTTCGTGGCGCAGTGGTCTGCATGCACAGCGCGTGATTGAAAGGTCCGCGGTTCGATTTCCGGCGAAGGCGTTGCATATTTTTCATCTTTCCTACTTCCAAAATACCTAATGTCTCTACAGTGGCGCCCGAACTAAAAGGGTGTTGGATGATGATTCTCCTCACCCAGGATTTGGTGACTGAGTCCGCTAAAAACCCCAGTAGCCCTTTAAAAGCGGGGGGTACATAAAGTATTTCTCCCGCCTTTTTAGAGAACCTTCGTGGTGTAGTGGTCTGCATGCTCAGCGCATAATTGAGAGGTCCGCGGTTCGATACCCGGCGAAGGCATTGCATATTTTTCATCTTTCCTGCTTCCAAAATACCTGATGTCTCTACAACATTTAAATTCAAATGCAAAAATTATAAATTGAATTTATTTAACACAACACGTTGCTCTTTATGCCAGTTCTATTGCAGTTAGGAATCCCAAATTTCTTTCAGAAAAAGATAATTTAAGGTTATTAATTATCCTGAGATATCACGCGAACGTTCTTTCAAGTCGCCTGCATTTTTTTATTTGATATCACAACATATATTTTACTTTATATGTCGATAATTTTGTATTTAATGAAGCTGTATGATTGCTACTATGGGGGTTCTGCCTTTTCTTTAGTTTTGCGTGAGGGAGCCATTGCAATCCTTGGTACTGCGATTTTTTCTTGAAAATTATGAAAGTTCTGCCTGAGTGATGATACTGTTCTTAAAGATTAGAACAAAAATTTTAGAAATAATGAAATATATCGTTTTCCTGTTAGTTCAGATTGACTATATTATTAACTCTGATAGATTATTTTCGGTTATTTTTACTTTTCCTTTAAAGTCATGTTTGGTTATTTTGAGTACAACTTCTCTCTGTTTCGAGCATTGATTTTAGTGGCATTATTAACAGATATTACTAAATAATAGTCATTAAAAACGATATAAAAACAAAAGGATATTAGCAGCTATTTTAATTAACAGGTTTTTTAAAATTGAGACTAGCGGCAAATGCTGTTTAAAATTTATTAATCGCATTATTTTCCGATTTCCAATTATTTTTCTATCTTTTGGAATTTTGTTACTTCATCATTTCTTATCATCGATGAAAGTAGGTAAGGTTAGAATTTGATGATTTTTAGATATTTAATTATTACAAATTTGCATAAAATAGGCCTTTACTTATCTTATTAGTTCTGCGTATTTTTATTATGATTTAGATAAATTATCCTACACTATAATTATATTTTGTAAACTTTTTGTTTTACAGATGCCTTGAAGTTTGACAACAGTTATAGCTGGATGTCATCAAAAAAAGTGTTTTACAAGATCAAAATTAGTTCGGCTACTGAAAATGATATTTGTGGCTAATTTGAATGCTGTATTAGATAAAATATCTTTATTATACTGTATTTTCTTGTGCTGTATTATTGTAAATTATTTTCTAATTGTGGGAATTATTTAGTTTTTACAGTATTTATTACATAGAGGGAGAATTTTCTTCAAAAGGACGAAATAAAAGAAAACAACAACAAAAAAAAAAAAAAAAATTCTTAAAAAGGACATAAATTCATCTGAAGAACAAAATGCAGTTGCTTCTATGCTTTTGAAGACAACTGTGTGATTTCACATTCTTATTTCGTGTTGTATATCATTTATTCATTATTGTTGCATGTTGCATGCTGCTGTCACCTTTTGTGCCGTTTCGTACAGTAGTAATGGATAACTTATTATTGGTATAAACTACAATTCCGTTGCATCAAATTTATAATACTTAAATTTAATAGCATTGATTAATGTTTGGACACATGGTTTCGCCTTTTACATGATTTTAAAAAACAGATTGGGAAAGTTTGTCTTAATCATTCTAATCTAAATACTTTTCACTCACTAAATAAAATTTAAAACTTCTTTCGACTGGAAAAGTACATTTTAATACATCTTGCGTGGTTAAATTGAGATCTAACATTATAGTTCGGTTGAAAAACAATCTATTGACATATTTAAGATGAATATTCGAAACTAAAACTTCACCTCTCCCAAACTGATTTGTTTGGGAATATTTTTCATGTGATTGTGGTTTCTAATTTAGATGCTTCGTGAATTTGCCAACCGCAATTTGGTAATGTTTTCTTCTTCATGTCTATGGTCACTTTTATTGTGTTTATTGACAGTGTAGAGGATTTTCATCCTGTTATTTAACAAAAGCAAATAAAATAAAAAATTTTCATTGCATAAAATTACTTTTGTTATGACTCATTTTGACTTAATGGACTAAGTTTTTTTAATATAAATACAGTATATTAATTAATATACAGCATTTAATATAAATACGGTATATATTTTTAATATAAATACAGTATGTTAAAAAATAACACATGTTTTTCCGATATAAATTGATAGCAAAGCCGTTAATAGGTACAGACACTATATTCACGAGAGGTGGGTTTTCTGTGTTCTCCTTTTGTCATCTCAGTTGTTAACCCATTGATTCGAAAGAATGACCATCTTCTTTGAGGATGGAAATGACTGAAAGAAAGGGAATTGGTACTTCCATTTCCCAAAAATAAGTGTTTGATCTGTTCGTTAGAATATAATCGGAGCCTCTAAAGCTTGCTTTGAATCATTCGAGGGGAGAACGCGGTACGTGAAGGTTCATCGTAAAAGAGATTGTGCTTGCCACCGAATCCGATCTGACCACGTGATTACGAGTTAAGCCACGTGCTAAGCTGAATGCTATATTTTGCTTATCCGCTGCCATCGCCTGATTACTGTTTTACTGCCATTAATTGCTATAATATTTATAACATTATTTACGATTATTTTCTAAATATTTAATTATTTTTTCTTGGCTTGGATTTTCATCCTACATAGTTACCCCAAAGCTCTCGCTGTCAGTGTGAGAATCAGGGCCCTTGTAGGATTCCCCCTGCCCATCCATCTGCCGAGACACCGTCGAGTGGGCCCGGTTCCCGGGCGCAGGTTTGCATGCGTTTATTTGGGCGCTGTATTTCGACAGTTTCTTGACTTAGCGATCATGGATAGGATAGATGCGTTTTTAGGACAACTCATTACTGAGTACGAACAGAAGGAAAAATTAGGTGAATTTTATATGCTAGAAAGCTTAAGGAACTTAAGTTTTTCCAACTCATGCTTAGTAAATACGATGCTGATTTTAAGGATTTAGAGACTGAGGAAAATGATAACCTAAAAGAGCAAACACATGATTAGAAGCGACAGCGGAAGATCTAGAAGCCCTATTAACATACATGTTAATTGTTCTGGGGATGAAATAACTTTAGACAAAGGCACAAGTTCAGACGACGAGTTCTACGCCCATCGCCGAGGGGACAAAACAGTTAAGACCAGGAGTAATAATAAGACTGCCCAAAAAGCAAAAAATCGATAATATGACTAAGATGACTAACATACCTGAGCTGCCCTCAGCAAGTAATGTTCAAGTAAAAATTAATACAAATATCACGACAAACATGAAAGAGTCTCGTGCAACTAGTACTATGCATGAAGAAAATAATTCTAATAACAAGGCTAACACTAGCAATGATAACAATTTAATGGATACTAACAATAACGAACAACCTGCAACTCAAACAGTTAGTGATAATCAACAATCCGCTGAAGGTGACTTCTCTAAAAAGAATAAAATCCCACCCATCACAATTAAAGTAAACGGTAAGGGATGGAGTAAAACCAGACGCATTTTCAGGGAAAATAATATCGAATTTACACCCCATACAGTAAATGACTCTATAAAAACTTACACCAAAAATGCTGAAGAATGCAGGTTAACGATCAAACTGCTGAGAGAAGCTAACATTGAGTATCATTGCTATATTTTACCTCAAGATAAGGATCAAGATAAGATATTTTACCTCAAGATAAGGATCAAGATAAGATATTTTACCTCAAGATAAGGATTTAAAAGTTGTTGTAAGGGGACTTTTGAGAGATGATGACCCAAAAGAAATATAGGATGAATTAGAAGCAAAAAAACACACCATCTCAACAGTAAAACAAATGACACTGCGTAGGAATGGGGAAATTACCATGCTACCACTTTTCCCATTTCTTAATTAAAAAACGACAAATCAGCAGAAATCTTTAATGAGGAATATTTATTAAACTTAACAATCAAAGTCGAACAGTACAGAGGAAGAGCGGGACCGATGCAATGCCAGGGGTTCCACCATACTCAAAGTGGGTGTAACCACCCTCTAATATGTGTCAGTTTCGCCGACAATCACTTTTCATTTCCATGCCCAAATAAGAGCAAGAACATGCCCCCAAGGTGTGCGAACTGTAATTTAAATCCCACCTCCAGTTTTAGGGGGTGTGAGAAATTTCCCAAGAAAGCTAACACTAATTTTGAAAAACCAAAGACATATGGCAGTCGTGTAATTGAAAATAAATCTTTCGCACAAGCTTTACCTTCTGGGATTTATACTAAAACAATCAACGAAGCTAAGAAAGTCTTTGCTGATTTAGTCGAACTGGTATCTGTAATCAAAAGTTGCGGCCTTTTTTCTTTCCGAACAAATGAGACAAGTTAAAAACTTAAGTAAAGACAACCAAAACTCTGAACCTAATAATAATGGGCAAGCACAGCTCTAACAAAGCTCCTACTGTATTGCATATTGCAACGTTCGCAGCGTTCTTAAGTTAGTCACGGAATTGCCCAACTTTTTCACAAATCACGATGTCGATATTACACTCATTACTGAGACGCACGCTACACCTTGTAGGAATATTAATATTGTTAATTACCACTACGGCATGACACTATAATAGGTGCGACAAAAGGAGTCGGGGGTTCGCTATTTATGTGCGTAATTCCCTACAGTCCTGTTTAATTAAAGAAGAATATAAATAATGACCATGAGGCTGTCACAGTTGCTGTACACCTTTTTGTATGGTAACATCTACTTTACTTCGGCCTACAATCGGCCCACAATGCAACTTACTGAAAATATCATCTCAAGCTCCTGCCCTAATAAGCAGCCGTTTATCACCACTGGTGATTTAAATGCTAAGAACTCTGAATGAGGCTGCCGTTGTACAAAAAGAATGGAAAGATAAGATATTTTAAAAGACTGCGTATAACTTTCTTCTAAAAACTCCTGTTGCTATTAACGCGCCAGCTGAGTATACTTATATACCTAGTAACTTCAGCAGGGCTGACATTCTTGATATCATGCTCCCAAATACCGACATTCCCATGACTTAATAAGTCACGCACGAGTTTACCTCATACCACATCCCAGTGCTTGTCACCTTGGGGATCTCAAGAGTGGATAGCAAGAAACATATTACGAAAATTTACTTTGCAATAACCCTCCTGCCCTAGGTAGTTTAAAGAGCAGAAATGACATAGACAATTTACATAATAAATTTATAGATAGCATCAACACTGCCATCAATAATGCCTCACGTGTCATTAACAAAGAAAATTAAGCAAGGAGACTTCCTAGGAACATCAGGGAATTAATTACGGAACGCAACCGCCTTAGTAAAAGATGGCATCTTACCTGGAGTCCCCAGGTTAAATATGAACTTAACCGGCTCAATAAGAAAGTTAAGAAACTAATTGACTTGCACAGGAATGAAATCTGGGAGAAAAAGATTTTAAGTCTCAATCCTATAGTTCTAATTTAAGAAATGAAGCAAAAAAGGATTTTTAGACCATGGTGATTTTGATCATGGCACATTTTAAGAAACATATAAATATAAAAGTTTAAATTTGCATGTGTTTCATTAGCAGAGAAATTACCAAGAGTTTATGCTACTAAAAATCTGTTTTTATTGTTATTATTATTATTATTTTGGGAGGGGGAAGACGTATTTTGCAATATGCAGAGTTGACACTTAAAAAAATTTCAACAGTCATATGATAACATTAAAAGCACCAGCCTTAACAACAACAGTAAGATTAAAAGCACCAGCCTTAACAATCAAATTTTGGCTTTTTTAAAAATGATATTTTGAAAGTTTTGTTTTTTATATTGTGCTTTCAGAAAAACTTAGAATTTATCATAACCCACAGATATTTACTTTCTCAAAAAGAGGCCTGAAAGAAATTTCAAATAATAAATAATATTACATCAATATATGAATAATTAAATTTTTAATGGAATTTGTCTTTAATTTGTAGCATATTTCCATGCTCATTTCAGAGATGAAAATGTTAATATATTTCGCCAAACAAGTACTAAGTTCCAAATATACACATTAATTGTGATGTATTTTCATTTAACACAAAATATTAAGGCCAGCAACATGTCTGCCACATCTTAACAAAATTTTCGAGTTTCCAAACTGTTATGTGAATTAATTATTGACATATTTTGAACGAATTATTTTATTCCAAGGAATATTTTGATGATATTGATTTTGCAACAATCAGGGATTCAAACAGAGTTAAAAACAGTTGAAGACAATCTTTCAATATCTATGCAAATAACAATTACAAGAGTCCCAAAACAAATGTAAGCAATTGTAGGTATTTCATGCGTAAACAATTAAACTACTTTTGTTGATGTGTTCACATAGTAGTATATACATTATTTATTCCAAAATCTTTAACTGCCAGGAAAATTGACACCTTTACTTTGTACGTACCGTAATCTCAAGTCAAAGCTTTATTAGAAGATGTCAGTATATTTGATCTTAATTTTTTATGTCATTTGTAAACTAATTTCTAGAAAATACAAAGCTTAGGGAAACAAAATTTCATATCCTTTAATGTACTAGATGAAAAGAAATGTTTGATAAAAAAGTGAATGATCGGATAGTTTGATAGTAATATTTTACCCTCTGGCCATCAAATTCGCTAAAGTTACGTGGACAAAAATGGCGACAAATATTTCGGCTCACTATTCAGGATCTTCGCTCACCACCCGCTCTTTTCATTGGACTTCACCAGGCGGCAAACATCAAAAAGATCTGGTTGGGATTTGAGATTGTAGTTAATCAAAGCACAACGGGGCCTGGAACAGGCAGGCACGCTCTAAAACTAGCTCGGACATCGCTGGTGGTTCTTGAGGCATCAAACCGCTAGAAGTTTTGACCTCTCGGGTTTGGAGCTGTGCTCTGAGGCCTTTAGCTGAAAATAGAAGAATAAGCGCTTTTGCGCGACTTAGATTAGTATCTAAGTAAAGCAAACATGAAAATGTTCTTTGCTATATGGAAAATGCATAATAAAGTTGAAATTTAATAAACATAG